AAACTATGACACAATGTGACAGTAAACAAGAAAGCATGGTATTGGGATCAAAACAGACACACAGCTAAACAGAACACAATTGAGAGCCAAGAAACAAACTCACACATATATGGACAATTAATTTACATTAAAGAAGCCAAATACATACAATTAAGCAAGGAAAGTCTCTGCTGGGAAAAATGGAAAGTCACATGAAAAAGAATGAAATAAGATCACTATCTCACACCAAACACAAAAATTTATTCAAAATTGATTAAAGACTTGGTTGTAAACCAAGTATTAAAACCATATAGTACAGAGAAGAAAATATAAGTGATACATTTACCTTAGAGATATTTTCAGGGACTTCACTCCAATTAAAAGGGAAACAAAGACAAAGGAAAAAAAAAGCTGAAATGGCACTCTATCTAACTGAAAAGATTATGCACAGCCAATAGAAATAATCATCAAAACAAAAAGACATCCTATTGAATGGGAAAAGATATTTGCAAATCATATATACAGCCATTGGTTAATATCCAAAATATATAAAGTACACATAACTACAACAAATTAAAAAATAACCTGATTGAAAAATGGGCAGAGGATATGAATAGATACTTCTCCAAAGATGACATACAGATAGCCAAAGGCCTAGGAAAAGATGTTCATCATCTCATTACTGGGGAGATACAAACCAAAACGATGATAGATACAAACAAAAACACACCTCACACATGAGAGTGGCTATTATATAAAAGACAGGAAACAACAAGTATTAGAGAGGATGTGAAAGGAAGACAACCCTTGTCCACTACTGCTGGTAATGTAAATTGGTTCGTCTGTTACAGAAAGCAACATGGAGATTCCTGAAAATATTAGAAATAGAAATTTCATAGAATCCTGTTCTCCCACAGGACCTTTTAGCAGAGCAAAATTCATGACCATGGATATGGAAAGTCATTTCATAATCATAAAGGAATAAGTTCATCAAGAGAGTCATAAGAAACCTAAATATTTATGTACCTATTAACAAAATTTCAAAATGCATGAAACAAAAACTGATAGTATTGCAAGGAGAAATATAAAAATTAAAATTCTGGTAAGAAACTTCAACATCTCTCCTAATAACTGGTAGAGCCATAAGAAAGTTGTAAAAGATACAGACTATTTGAACAACATAATCCACTTGACGTAATTGAATATATAGGGCATTTCACCCAATGACAGCAAAATATCATCCTTTTTTAGGGCACATAGGACATTTACTATGGATCATAAGTTTCAACAAATTTTTTAAAATTCAAATAACATAAATATGTTCTTCAGTTCTTCACAATATATTTTAATTCAAAATCAGTAACTGAAAGAGCTCTGAAAAATTCCCAATTATTTGGAAACTAACTACCAAACTTCCAAATAACTCATCAAATAAAAAGGGAAATTAGAAATTATTTTGAACTGAATGAAAATGTCAAAAAAGAAAATCAAAATTTTTAGAATGCCCTAAGTAGTAATTCAGGGGACTGTAAAGCAATATAGACCTACACTAGGAAAAAAAAAAAAACAAAAAACCTCTCAAGTTACTACTTTGAGAAACTAGAAAAGGTTAAACACAAAGCAAACAAGCAAAGTAAATTATTAAATCAGAGTAGAAATGGATAAAATAAAGAAAAATATCAACAAAACCAAGTGTTGGTTCTTTGAGAATAACAATGAAATTGATGAACATATTAGCTATATTTAACTGGAGAAAATAAAGAGGACAAAATTTACCATGTAAAGAATGAGAAAGGTATTACTTCTACAGATCTGCAGATATTTAAAAGGTATTATAAACTAAATTTTAGACCAATAAATTTGCAACAATTAAAAAGGACACACTGTTTAAAAGATAACTGTCAAAGCTCTCAGAAAAAATAATGTCAATAGTTCCATTACTATGAAAGTTATTAAATTTGTATTTTTAAACCTTCCCCACCATAAAATTCGAGATGGTTTCATGGGTGAATTTTATTCTATAAATAGTTATGGAAACATTGAAAATTAAAATCATATCACCAAAACCATGGTCCATAAAAGAAAGTATTTGCAAATAGTAATTTATCAACATTATAAAAGGTTTTGCATTCTCAACAATTACAAGTAAATGAAAAAGAAAAATCAGATGGAAAAAATATTTACAATTATATACCAGATACAGGATTGTATCTCAGATATATCAAGTACTCTCAAAACTTCAATAATAATGAGAAAACAAACAATTCAAAAACAATAAGAGAAAATAATCTACACATTTTAGCAGAGAAGATATTCAAATGGTAAATGACAAAATAAGATACTTAACATCTTTAGTAACTGGGGAAAGGCAAGGTAAAAACCTAAAACCACAATGAGATTTCCCTATACTTCTTTAGTAATGATGAAGATTTATTTTTTTTAAAGTTCAAACCAAATGTTAAGAATGTGGAAGAACTGAGGGTCTCATTTACTGTTGAAGAGAATATATAATGTTAAAACAACTTGTAAAAGTTTGACAATTTCAATTAAATGTGCACCAACTATATGATTTAGTCATGCTACTTGGTGATATTTACCCAAGAGAAATAAAAGCATATGCCCATAAAAAGATTTGTATGTGACTGTTCATCACAGACTTATTTTTATTGGACAATAGCTGGAAACAACCCAAACATTCATCAAAAAATAACTGGTTTAACTATGTTATAGCCATACAAGGGAATACTACTCAGCAATAAAAAGGAATGAACTATTGATACAACCTAACATGACCAGAACTCAAAATATTTATTCTGTCAGTCAAAAGAGTACCGACTTCATACTTTCATTTATATGATATTTTAGGAAATGTATAGTGACAAAAAGCATATCAGATGCTTGGGAGGGATGGACAGAAGGAGTGGAGATTATAAAGGGGCACTAAAAAACTTTGCTGGGAGAGTGAAGAATATGTTCATCATTGTGATGTTTTCATGAATGTGTGTACATTTTAAAACATACCAATGTGAATATTTTAAATGTGTGCATTTGTTCAATGTGAATTGTACTTCAATAAAGTGATTTAAGGAAAAATCAAGTGACAGAGCAAGGTATGGGCTAAGATCAATCCCATGCCAAGCACCAAGAAGAAATAAAGTTGCCTCTAGGAAAATCTTTGTGCAGGAAGAAACTTTCATAAAATTATGTATGAGAGAAGTACTGCCCTACACATAAGGACTATCACACAAGGGAAATTTTTGTTAAAGCAGTACTTGAGATAGTAACATAGCTAAGACAATCTCTTCTTTCAAATATTCTCTAAATGTTCCTCCCAAATTCTCCAAGGGAATTCACTAAGTGAACAGAAAGCCTCATCTTTTATCTCCTGACTTACTGGCCCACTGAAGTAAAATGTGGCCATGGTGGAAATCACAGAAATGCCATGTTCCTAGAATAGGTCACAGGTTTTAATCCACAGTCATCTTTTTTCCAAGGAAAAATTCAGTTATCAATGAGAACATTCCTAACTGCTGCACATCAGCAAGTATAATTTAGCCTGGTCTCCATCTGTCTCAAAATCTGTCAATTTAAGTGCATAGGGCAGAGTTTCATCCTCCTTTTTAAGCACAACAAAATGCTGAAGAACTGCACTCTGAAATTCCCCCTGCAGTAGAACATACTATACATTCTTTGTTCTCTGCATGATTTAAGACATATTTCTTGGTTATTTGAATAGTACAAATTGAAACCTAACATGCAATGAACTATATAACTCAATAGTTGAGGATTTAGTTTTGCAAAAAATACCCAAAAGTCCCTATTAGTTAGTTACCTGAAGTGTAAGGCTATTTCCTTGGTTTAGCATTATTTTGTCTGTCTAGATATACAAAGGGAGATGGGTTGCAAGCATTTAACCTATATGCAGATAACCTTGCAATTTACTTGGACATCTACAGTAGGCACTGAAATTGATAGAAATCCAGAGATGCATGCCCAGGAATTTCAGGAATTCAACACAAAATGTAAAATGCCCTCTTTGGAATTCACTGGGTTATAATTAGAAAGAAAAAAAATAATAGCTTAGAAATTACTGCAATGAGTTGTGTTATTTAAATACTGAGGGATCCAGTGGTATGTTAGTAAATGTTTAAAAACTGGCTTGGAAGCACTAGCCAGTTTTGGTGGTGTAAATATTCCCACCATGGCCAATTTCAATGAATGATGGGAAGAGAAACACAGTCAGCTCTCCTAAGCCTGGACACTAGCCGGTACAAACACGCCACTGGAAATATCTAGGGTGTAATTACAGCCAACTCTAATCCTAAAAGAGAGGTAAACGAAGTTTCTAGGATATGTCTTCCTGTTCTGTTCTTTCTGGATGAATTTTTACTTCTGAAGTGGTCTTTAAACCTGTGACAATACACTTCTAATTGGAGGGGGAAAAAGCTCGTAAGCATTTAGAAAACATTATCTGCCATCAAATATTTAAATATTTCAACATTGAGGAATTCAACAAATGTGCTTTTTCTTTAACAGAAATCTTCAGATGTTCAAACATAACTCAAATTAAATGCTTACTGTGAGTCCCCCCCCCAAAAAAAAAGAGGAAAGGAAACAAACAAGACAATACATTTTAATACTGATTTTAGACAAAAATTAACCTAAGGCAACTTGTTAGTAAAGGGTGAGGATAGTTAGGATAAACACATCTCCTGCTGCAGAACTTGTACACTGACCTTGAAGTAGGGAATGAACTTAAATGTGTATTTTTGGCAGGGAAGGGAGGGAATGCAAATTTGCTTAATAGGAATTAAGAAGAGCAGATCAAAAGCCACCTTTTTGTGGTGTTTTCCACAAAGAGACTTTCTTCAAAGCCTAACTTTGTAAGGAAAATTGGAAGGAAATAACTTATTAAACTCGAAGTCCAACAAAAGGGGGAAAAAAACAAGAGCGGCAGCGCCAGCATTTCAACACAAGTGTAGCAAAGAAATAAAAGGAGTAACAAAAGAGCAGACATATACCCAAGTTCTGAGTCTGACTGCAGCTGGAGCACTGAGGGGTCTGTGTCCCACTGCAGGGTCCTAATCGTGCAGCACAAAGGAAAAAGAACACAGAGAATTAACAAAAGGGGAGGGAAACAAAACAAACCAAACTATGTCATTCATCAAGGCAATGGCAATATACAATACATACACAGAACATCTCCCCTCCTCTTGACCCCCTCCACCCCAGGTGCCAGGAAGATCCATGAAAATCACACAAGAAAAAAGCTAGGCGCCATCTTTTCCCCTAATAGCTATGGGGAATTGCAAGATATGGTCGCTTTCCTGGAAGGAAGCCCAGAGGTGAACAGTCAAACTCCCTAAGCTCACCCATCCTTTTGATCAGTTTGGTGCTAAATCCTGGTTGATTTGAGCAAGAAAACACCTCTGTGTATCTCTGACATCCCAGAACCCATGCACATCTGGAAGACCAAGCATCTCTCATGCTGTGAAGAGAATCCAAAGCGAGGGTGCAGGTGGGCCAGAGAAAGACCCTCTGTGGAAGTCAGGGAGGAGCTTGACAGCAGGGCCTGAGAAGTAACTGGCTTCCTTGGTCAGTCACTGCAAATACAATGCAGTCGATTTTGAGATTCACGGTATTTTCATGTTTTTGATGTATACACCAGGATGGTCACCAACAATATGGTTTTTCTCTAAGATGCCAGGGATATCTTACATCTTTTAAATATTTCACATGAGACAGCACAAAGTAGCAATAGTTACCAAGGCATTCAATTTCCCTTGTTCAAATTAAGAGAGGATAAATAGCTCTTTTATCAGTACAGTGGGCACAACGACCTTTCTCTCCAGGTCCTTTCCATTTCCCGAGCAAGTAGTTACAGGTAAATCAGGTCTGGGCTACCTGGTGGGCAACTGATGGAAGTCGGGCAGCTGAGACACTAAGCTTGCCTTTGCCAACTTACCAGCTGTGCAATGTGGGGCACATTGCTAACATTCTCAAGCCCAGTGCACTTTTGCATATTCTAAGTGTCATCCACAGACTTGGTAGCATCAACACCTCTGTGGGAAATGCAGGGACTTGGGTTTCACTCCACGAAAAATGACTCCACACTACCATTTAGTCAGGCCCTAGGTGATTCGTGGGCACCTTAACCTCCGAAGAGCCATGCTCAATTTTCTTATCTAGGAAAACTTATCACAGCTCAGGAGATAATTTATGACCGGGCCGGCCGCTGTTTTCCAAATGTATCTCGAGCCCCTGTCCCCTTCCTCACTTTGTGTTCCTTGTCCTTCTGGATTTTTTTTTTTTAATTTTTAAAAAATTTTTTACATCCAGGGCCTCCCCGGTGGCGCAGCGGTAGAGCGCTTGGTTGCAAAGCTGCCCGGGGCCTCTGCGGCGCCGGTTCGATCCCCGGCTGCTCCCGGGCCACCGGAGGAGGGTCCCACATGGCGCGCAGACCTCTCCTGCCGCCCGCTGCTCCCCTCAGCAGTGTACTTCGGTCCTTCTGCCTGCTCTGCTCCCCGCTCTGGCTCTGGTGAATTCTCTCACCCTCCCGCACTTCTGACTGTACCCAGTGCTTGTATAAACAAAACAAACAAATAAATAAAACATGCCTCTATAAAAAAAAAGAAATAAAACTTAAAAAAAAAATTTTTTTACATCCATTGATCGTTTTCAAACAATAGTTGCTTCCCCCCACTCCAAATGCTGTGTGTGGCTCATGCCTTTGCTAAGCTCGTGTCTGGGCTTAAATGTGACCTGCTCAGGGAGGCTTTTGTTTCTCACCACTGTCTCAAATGGCACTTCCTATTTCTCTTTATCCCCCTTATCCTGCTTTACTCTTTTCATAGCACTTACCTTTGCCAATGATTTTATTATACATCAGTTTATTTGTTACTGTTTTCTGTTTGACTCTTTAAACTTAAGCCTTGTAATACCAGGGGCACCTATATCCCTAAATTACAGGGGAAGTCTGGAGCCATGAGTGGCGCACATTATATCACACATATTGGATGGATGGATGGTCTCTGGCTTTCTATAGACTATGCAATTATAAAACGCAAAGTCTTTGAAAAGCAGTAGCTGTTCTTTCCACTACCACATCTACTATAGCTACTATAAATGTTATTTTGAATCATTGACCTACCTAAGTGAAAAAGCCCATGTAAGCTCCTCCTGCAGAGGTATCTGAATGCAGATTCATAGCTTCCCTGATTCTATCTAGCTATGCTGTATCCTCTTACCTGAACACTCTGAAACATGAGATCTGAAGATTCCACAGATTGAAAGCTCAGTCTCATAAGACTGCACACCCACGATTCCTCCCCCACTTTGGCCACCAGTCAGAAGTCCAGGTTATTAATTTTGTTTTTGTTTCATTTAACTTGGCTCCCAGACAGCCCCTCCTAGTACTTCAGATGACAGTTGCACATCTAAGTTGTTACCTGTACTTCTGAACAATTAATTGACTATAAATCAGACTTCCCAGGACCCCCTCCTCGAGTTCCATCAGTTTGCTAGATCTTCACACAGAACTCAGAGAAACATTTCAATACCCAATTACCAGTTAAAGGATATAGCTCAGCAACAATCAGATGGCAAAGATGCACAGGGGAAGGGCATGGCCCTCTCCAGGAATACCATTCCCCCCAAATTCCTACATGTTCACCAACACATATGTTCTCTAACCCCAGTCCTTCTGGGTTTTTACGTGGGCTTTACTACATAAGCATCATTGATGAACTCACTGGCCATTGGTGATTGAACTCCATCTATGATGTTTCTCACCTCCCTGGAGGTCGGGAGGTGGACCCATCCTTGGGTCATTAAAAATGTCACCTTATTAATATAACGAAAGACATTTCTGTTACCCCCATTACTTAGGAAACCTCAAGGGTTTTAGAAACTCTGCCAGAAACAGGGATGAAGACCAAATATATATTTCTTTTTACAAACCATAGTATCATACCTGGGAATATTGTTAAAATTCATTCTTTTTAAGTAGGACTCAAGTGGCCTGAGAGTCTGCATTTCTAACAGGCTCCAGTGGATGCAGATGGTGCTGTTCTGTGGACCATACTTGGAGAACAAGGTATTAATTTAGAGCAGTGGTTTTCAAACTCTAACATGGATCAAAATCATCTTGTGGGTTTATTAAAAGAAGGAATACTAATGTCAAGCCCAGAACTTGACTCAGTAGGTCTGGTGTGGAACCTGAGAATTTAAATTCTAACAAGTTCCCAGGTAAAGCCCAGGGCCTACTCTGGGACCACCATGACAGAGTGAGTAGGCAAGACTATTGCTTGCATCAGTCAGCAGGTAGTAAGCTCACTAATCCTCAAATTGAAATTGTCTAAACATGTGATTAACTCAAGTCTGGCCTGAGGTCCGGGCTACTTTTAGATCAATTAAATCAGAATGCCTAGGGAGGGGCCAACAGGCATATTTTTGGAAAGTTTCCAGGCAATTCTAATGTGCAGCCAGGGATAAGAATCACTGCTGGACACTCACTCTACTCAAAGAAAGTAGCCCCTCCTGGTTCTGAGTGCTGATTTCTTCGCTTCAAGTGGTAGAACTAATGGAAGCCATCACATTGCCTGTTTACATATCTTTGGGGATCAAACTTTTTATCTTTAAGGATGTTTCTTTCACAGACAGAAGAGCAGCCTTAGGTGCTGACTGTAAAAAGCAATTCCTTGTAAGGGGTGGGATCCGTTACTTTGCTTTCAATTTGCCTGAAGGTTGCAGATGAGACACCTCCATTGACCTTTGCTTCTCAAGGCAGGTGAAGAATGCCACAGCTCCCAGATGGGCTGGCTGCCTCTGTTCCTTATTTGAAAACTCACTTGAACTACCGCTCTCTTAAGAAAGAGAGATTCTATCCAAATCACTCTAGAAGTCCACAGACAAGCAGTCTGGTTTGCACTTAACCAGAGAAACAAAGGTGGTCTTCCTAACTACCACACAACAGTCCTGTCCAGGCAATGCCCCTTCCCACACACACACATGTATCACTCAGTAAAGAAATTATAGCTATTATCAATAAGGAGCAGTGGGATAAGGACTCAAGCCAAGGGTGGAATCAAGTGTTCCAGTTTTTTGTCGTTAAAATCTGTGCGGTGGTGACTTGCAGGGAACATAATTTTTCTTCAAAAAGGAACTTAACTCTAATGCATTAAGTGGGCAAAGGTTGTTTGTACTTCTAGGGGTAGCCTAGAAATGTATAATTACAGGGAAGCTTCTAGCAGATGGCAGCACCTTGTAAAGGGCCAAGTCTAAGCCTTGGGTAGGAGGCTGCGTGCTGGGTGCACCTCCATACAGCATTAGTCACTGCTCAGTAACTTGAGGATGCAGCCTTAGAAGGCCTCCAAAGTTCTCTTCTGCCTGATGTTTAAAACATCGAATGATAATGATATTGACTTTCCCTTTTCTCTTCTCTTATTGGAATACTTTCAATCTAGCCAAATGACATCATTTTTAATTTACTTTTCAAACATCTTATCCACTATGTCATAAAAATAAAATGATGGCTGTCCCAGTTTCCTGTGCAATTTGAAATTTTGCCAGGTAGTTTATTTGTAAAAATAAGTAGTGAGAAGTAAAAGTAAATATATGTGAACATATATACACTACCACAAAATACTTTCATATAGAAGTTAACCTGTTTACTCTGTAGTAACTAGTTCTATGGCTCAGTCTTTTCTGGAATCAACCAATCAAATGCATGAAAAGAGAAATTATTTTTGATAACAGCATTCACTTACTTGATAATCATCTATTAAGAGCTTAATATGAAAATTATGGCAAAAGAGGATAAAAACAGTTTTCAAGAAACCCACAGTTCTTATGAAGAAATAAAACATATCACAGTTTAGTAAACAAGGTACAAAATCAAATATTCCAAAGAACAACATCCCAGGAGTGCTGTGGAACATGGGACTTATAGTTAAGAATGTTTCATTTTAGTAAAAGAAATGGATATTTATACCCAAAGTTATACTGATAACATGACAGGGAGAAAGTAGTTTTCTTTATATGCCCAGGACTTGGCATGGTTTAAAATTTCAATAAAAATTAG